GAGGACAAAATTGACCATTGGTTAACGTCAATACTTAAAGACGATTTCACAGATGCTAATGTGAGTCTATCATATTTATCAAATGGTTTTCTTTAAAAACAAGCAATTATTTATTATGATATTGTCACAATGTTGGGCTGCAACTTCTAATCATATTTTTAATTTAAAATATAATCCTCTCCACCTCAAATTTGTAGTGACTTGCCCCTGGTACATCACACTTTTCCTTTAACAATACAGTTGTGCCAGTCATATCTCTAACACCTTCCAGGGGATGATTTTAATTGAAATAATGCAACTTCCTGTTTGCATCGGAAGTTCTTATATAGTTAATTGGGGCCTTCTCCCACTAAGGTCTACGTATCGTATTCCGTTCTCGAAATTAAGGAAAGACAGATGGAATTTATAGGTCTACAAATTGCAGTCCAATAATCTTAATATGTAAATCTTATTACTTTTCATTACTTGAATCATAAAACAAAGTAAAAAAATTAAAATAAGTTAATGACAGTGGCATGTTATAGCTTCACGAATCCCATTTGAATTTGAATTAGGGATGCCCCACCCAGGCAATTCAATTTTTTGTTCATAGGATAACACGCCACTGTTTAAAAAAATTATTTTTTGTATATTTTTATTGTTAGATATACCAGTCAACCCCCCTATAACACTGTTGATAATTCCGTTTTATATGAATTCCGTGTTGTACGAGTCACTTTAATTTTACAAATATGTGTACCGGGCTGTGAACGGCTCACGTATTTGTAAAATTTAAGTGACTCGTACAACATGGAATTCATATAAAACAAAATAATCAATGATCTTATACGGGGGTCGACTGTATTATAATAGTTAATGGCCTGAATAATCAGGTAATAATTTTACAGAACAATTGAGCATAAATTAATCGATTACATACGAATTAAATATAAAACAGCACATAAAATATCAAAACCTTTAATTAACATTATTCACATAATTTCAAAAAGTTTTAATTGAATTTTTCATTTTAAATTTAAACATATAACTGTAATAGATAACTATATACGATATTTAATTGTTATTTTTAATTTGAAAATATGATTTTAATTGCATTATTTATAATAAAATATATAATTATATTTTAATATTTTATCACGGACACATTACACATTTTTGGTAGGCAGCAATTAAGTCAGTTGCTGCAAATCAAAAATACCACTTTGGCGTAATGGCCACAAATAATACAAAAATTATACAATACAAAACAATTACATATAAATTATACTTAAAATGAAATAACTAGTCAAAATAAACAAAAAATTCACATTGATCAAAATAGATAACTTGACATTTTCCTCTAAATACCAACAACTAGACCATTCACACTTATAAAGTATGACCGGACATTGGAGTGTCGCTAAGGCCGACAATGGCCGGCGACGGGTAAGAGGTGGGATTCCCTCGGACGTGACATTTTCCTTTTTATACCGAGGACATGACGTTTACACACTTATAAAGTATGACCGGACATTGGAGTGTCGCTAAGGCCGACAATGGCCAGCGACGGGTAAGAGGTGGGATTCCCTCGGACGTGACACTATTTTTTTCTATACCGAGGACTAGACTTTTACACACTTATAAAGTATGACCGGACATTGGAGTGTCGCTAAGGCCGACAATGGCCAGCGACGGGTAAGAGGTGGGATTCCCTCGGACGTGACACTATTTTTTTCTATACCGAGGACTAGACTTTTACACACTTATAAAGTATGACCGGACATTGGAGTGTCGCTAAGGCCGACAATGGCCAGCGACGGGTAAGAGGTGGGATTCCCTCGGACGTGACACTATTTTTTTCTATACCGAGGACTAGACTTTTACACACTTATAAAGTATGACCGGACATTGGAGTGTCGCTAAGGCCGACAATGGCCAGCGACGGGTAAGAGGTGGGATTCCCTCGGACGTGACACTATTTTTTTCTATACCGAGGACTAGACTTTTACACACTTATAAAGTATGACCGGACATTGGAGTGTCGCTAAGGCCGACAATGGCCAGCGACGGGTAAGAGGTGGGATTCCCTCGGACGTGACACTATTTTTTTCTATACCGAGGACTAGACTTTTACACACTTATAAAGTATGACCGGACATTGGAGTGTCGCTAAGGCCGACAATGGCCAGCGACGGGTAAGAGGTGGGATTCCCTCGGACGTGACACTATTTTTTTCTATACCGAGGACTAGACTTTTACACACTTATAAAGTATGACCGGACATTGGAGTGTCGCTAAGGCCGACAATGGCCAGCGACGGGTAAGAGGTGGGATTCCCTCGGACGTGACACTATTTTTTTCTATACCGAGGACTAGACTTTTACACACTTATAAAGTATGACCGGACATTGGAGTGTCGCTAAGGCCGACAATGGCCGGCGACGGGTAAGAGGTGGGATTCCCTCGGACGTGACATTTTCCTTGAAATACCATTGACTAGACCATTCACACATATCAAAGTATGACCCGACATTGAATATCTGAGTGTCGCTACGGCCGACAACGGGTGGCGACGGGTTACCCATGGGAATTTTTCGGACGTGACATTTTCCTTGAAATAGCAAGGACTAGACCTTTCACCTTTATCTATGCAGGCGACGCTTAGTTATGCATTATTGCCGTTTCTAGGGTAATTATTTCTTTATAGGGTAATCTGAACTTTTCAGGGTAATTGTTGGGGTAGTGTTATATTTAGCTAAAGTGCGCTGTGATTTTATGCTATTACCCATCGCGCCACATCTTCGGAAAAAATTTTAGCTTAAAACAGTTTTGTTTTTTTTTTATAACTGGAGAGTTTCAGGATAGGAAAACAGTCGCTAATTGATGGTTTTTTTTTAACCTTGAAAACGAATGTTGAAACACAAATATACAGTATATGTAAAGAAGTAAAACGGCTGTTTTTGGGAGAAGACTTATGTCTCGTTGACTCAGGGCTCGACTGCACACTGTTTTCTAAGGAAAAGAGAAAAATGGTCACTAACCAATGAGGAAAAGCCAATACCGTATTTGGGGTTTTGGCGTAGATTACGGCGGGCTTCGTTGCCGCCGTGGTTACGATGGGTTGAGTTGTCACGGGCCTGTTCATGGCTACAATAAGTGGGAAGATACAGCTGACCCTCCTATAACGCGGTGGACACGTTCTACTTTATAAGAATTTTACGTTGTAGGAATCCTTAATTAAATACATAAGCCGATCACAGCCCGATACGTGTGCAGTTTACGGTCTACGGCTGTTTAAAAAATTTTCTTGCATAAAATTAATCGACTCTAGACTAATTTGACTAAACATTTCCAAATCACGTATAATTTTTTGGGAATAATCCGTATAAATTATGCTATAAACAAAAAATTGTAGGATTACTTACCGAGTGTGCACCGTTCGTCGATGCCATTGCTTAAGCTTGCTTTCATCGCGGAGCAGCGCACCAAACGGTGGGTGCGTTTTCTAATAAGTTATTTTTATGCGAAAAATTCGTTGAACTTTGGAGACATCATTAATAGAAATAATTGTTATGGCCGTTGAATAAGAAATGTTTTTTCACAAGAAATGTATAAAATTACAGTACTGTAATTTTATACATTTCATACTATCGTCTGTACAGTATATAAATTAGGACTTACAGTACCTAATTTATATACTGTACAGACGATAGTAAACTCAACTTACCGCCTAAACTGTCCGTAGCGTGTAAGTAGTTTGGCTGCTCGTCCACTATTGTTCCAGATTCGACCAATCCTGTCGCGACACGAGTCAGCGATGACATTTTACCGCATTTTATGTGTCTCTTTTAGCGTCTTTATACGAATATGGTCACAATTTTTTCGCCGCAATATACGAATCCACATTATATGAACCTGCGTTATAGGGGGTCGACTGTATTTGTACTCGAATTGTCCCGATGTTGCTCTCGTCGTTTCGCCATCCTGCAAGAGAATACACGCATAAGGTGTGTCACATGTTTGTCAAAATTTGATTTCACAACACATTTCGAACTTCCCAACGAGCAACGCATGCACAAATCTCGCACCAGCACCTGTTTGTAGAAACAGTATCGCCATTTTGTATTTTATTTTGACTCAGTTCTTGGTCCCGACTAACTACAAATCTGGTTTTTTTATGTGCGCATGATTTTGGCACTAAATACTCTGTGCCAAATTGCAACGGCTGACATGTACTTCATACTTCTAAGGTAGTGTTCCTTAACAGGGAGGCCTCGGCCCCCTGGGGTCCATAAGAAGTTTGCCGGGGCCGCAAAATTATGCAAAATTTATGCATATTTGCGTGAAAAAGGTTCTCAAGTATGGTGGATATAAAAACAAAAAAACGCAATCGATTGCGATTAGATGCCTGCATGCGGATAGTATTACAAACAATTGAACCAAGAATTAACAAAATAGTTAAGAATATTATTATTATTAGCAGCAGAAATGTCATTAAATTATTTTCGATTATTATTTGTTTTTTTTCTATGAATTTTTAAATGTTTCTAATTTTATTTTTTGTTAAAAATTNCTCCTGGCCGAATATTCGGTATTCAGCCTGAGGCCGAATATACTATTCGTTACATCACTAGTTCACAACTATGGTGGATATAAAAACAAAAACAATGCAATCGATTGTGATTAGATGCCTGCATGCGGATAGCATTACAAACAATTCAAACCAAAAATTAATAACTTAGTTGAGGATATTTTTATTATTAGCAGTAGAAATCTCATTAAATTATTTTTGAATATTTTTTGTTTTTTCTATGAATTTTTAAATGTTTCTAATTTTATTTTTTGTTAAAAATTAATGAGTTTTTATGTTTAATTGTGAAGTTTGAATGTTATTTAAATAGATAATGAAATAATAAAGTTATATTTTACATTTATTATATAAAAAAATAAAGCAATAATAAAAAAATCAATTTATTATAGATAATTTAACAAATATAAATTATTATATAAAAAATGGAGGTCACAAAATAATTATGAAATATTTGGTGGGCTGCGAGTATAAAAAGATTAAACTGAACAGTTCAATTACTACACTTTTCTGTAATCCTACTCTGATTCTACCTTTTATCTAAATTTTTTTTTCTTATCCATCCTGTGAGTGCTAAGAGCTTTTTTAGGCAAAGATTCAAATAGGGTGGCTGGATAGCGAGGGTCACAGAGTCTGATGTATTGGAACACCCCCGGAAAAGTTCCTGGGGAGTTTCGACCCATCTGGATTGATCCCAGATCCCTTGAAGCGGTAGGCTGCCACCTTAATCATCAGAGTACAGAGTTAGAGTTCGTATCAAAATGTTCAGTGTATTAAAATGTATAAATTTCCTAACAATGAAATAACTCCAAACCCAAAATAGTCAAAAAGATTAAAAAAAAATTGTTAGTGTCTGTTTAATTTAAATCTCAGAATGAAGTAAAGATTAAGAAATTAAATTTGGCATGGTAACTTGTATATAAGGGGCATTGATGCTACTAAATTTTGGAGTATGGAACTCCAGGGGAGTGGGGAGATAGGGATCATGGGTCATACCTTGGCAGTTTAAAAAATCTAATTTTTATTTTAAATATAGAAAAGCGTCTACAGATACATCTGCTTTTATAAAAATATAAAATATTTTATATCTATTTAAATTTTTCGGTTGTGAGTAAATATTTCTGGCTCTGGTTGATAATGTAGTTTTACAAAATGATAGATTAGATTTTGGAAAATTAGATTATATTAGATTTAGAGCGCATGATGAAATTCAATATTTAAATAATGTAAATATTTTTTTTATAATTTCTTAAAATACTTTTAATTTTTCAAACAATATGGTATCAAATATTTATCCAAATATAACAGCACAAGTATGCTGATTAAATTAGACATCAAAGCAAAAAATATGCTTTGGTGTTATTTATTAATTTGTATTTAAATTATATGTTTAAAAATAAAATACATTATTTCCTTTATATTTTAAAAATATAGGAATCACTTAATGTTACATATCGGACCCAACGATGAATTTGTGTGGATGCCTGTCTGTGATCGTTTACGCTAAGAAAGCGTATCTTCAGTCCCGAACATACAAAATTAGATATTTCAAATTCTATTGCAACTGGACCTAATTGAAGTCGACTAGCTGCACTCTGATATGCTTCTATCAACTGAAAATATTATTTAAATTTTTTTATCAAGTTGAATAAATATAATATAATTTTAATATAAAACTTTATTTTCAAAAAGTTTAATTACTTTAAATCTAGCAACTGCTTCAGACTGTCCTGACATTTTCTTAATTTTCCAAATTAATTTTCTTTCTGTAGGTACAAATTCTGCCGTGTTTTCCGTCATACTAAACTGTTGCATAAAACTAAATAAAACAAAAATAAAAAATAAAATTTATTATATTTTTATAAATATTTCATTTTCTTGTAAGATTAATTTGAAAAAATTAAATTATGATAAATATTAATATAATTGTTACATATTAATCTTACCTTTTCATTGCTGAGGGAACGGGGATATGCACAACAACACTTAGAGTTTCTCTGTCAGCAGGAATATTGCAATTCAACTTCAACAACAAATCCAAATCTCTAAAAATAATATTCATAAGAAATAATGTACAATTTATTTAAAATACAAATAATTTGTAAATATATTTATAAATGAAAATTGTTAAATTTATGAATTTTTTTTATTATTATAGAAGTATATTTATCATCAAATCATACTTTCCATTTGCAGATTCTTCTATTAAACTCGTTAAATGAAATGGAATTGAAGAAGGAAGAATTGTATCCATTTGATAAGTCATTACAGAAACCTATTAAAATAAAAATAGAAAATTTAAATACAACACATTGAAAAAAATGTTATTTTTGTTAAAATTTATGATATATACTAACTCTTATCTCACTTAAATTTCTGCCTTATGAGAACATTTCACTAATTTGTTATATTATGAACTAGCAGATCAGCCCGGCGTTGCTTAGGCAAAAAGTAACAATAGCAAAGATTAAGATTATTACATTACAGCCAATCTTACCCGTTTTCACAGAATGCAAGAATTAGGTTCCCCTGTTTCCAGATTAATTAGAAAATTTTTAGATGTGTCTAAAATTATATTCAGTTTAATGCAAAAAACTGCATCTGCACCTGTAAATCTTGCATGCTGCTTTCTCTTAACACTTCCATTCTTAACACTTCAATTGTTACTTAACACTTCCATTGTTGAAGCCTTAATCCTGTCCCTTTCCCCACGGGGGATTTCAAAAAATCCCTTGTTAGTATGTGTTCTCGTGATGCACCCTAACTGTGTACCAAATTTCAAGTTTCAACTCCTAACTGTGATGAAATGCTCATATACATGCGTGCCGTCTATCGTAGGATAAATGTACTATGCAAGAAACCTTTGAAGGAGTGTATTAAACAACTTCCCAAAGTTTCATGGCAATTGTACTATGCCAGAAACCTTCACAGGAGTATATTAAACAACTTTCCCAAAGTTGCATGGCAATCAGATAAATGGTGTAGTAATGCATGAAAGACAGACAGACATACATTCATTTTATTTATATAGATGATTGACTGTTTTTTATAACTATGCTTCTTTTCTAATTATTAATTATTACATACATTAAAAGCAGAAATTAAAAATATGTATAAGTCATAAATGTTTGATAAGCCAAATGATTTCATGGCAACTTAGTGCTTCCAGTATTTAAAAAGTTAATCTTTTATTGATATAACTAATATAGGCAATTTAATATAAATATAACTAACATCAGGCTTAACTACTTTCAATAATACCAAAGGTTCTGTATCCAATAGCAATGGAAGGCTTACGTTGCATATCTGAAATCATGCCATGCATAAATATTATACATTAGATGTTAGTAACCTTAGGCACTTACATGTGGTTTGATATTCAAATATTCAATTCAATACTTTATTGTATGAACATTAGTTTGTTACAAGGGGGTTAAAGTATTACATAAAAACTAAAATTAGTACAATATAACAAACAAATTTTATAATTAATAACACACTTCTATAATTAATGTTTGATAACTTTCGATCAAATGAGGATCTTGAGACAACCATAGATATGAGAAACTGTGTTGATCTAACAGATTTTTCAATGCCAACGTCCAATTATATGTATAATTACCCATCATTAAACACAATTTATACAGTTTGTTATATGCTACTTTAACATAACTGTTACTATGTAGTTTCAATAGTCTAATCCAAAAAGAAACTATTGCTTTTATTATTAATACTGATATTCTAGAAACATCAAACTCCAATTACAACATGTAAGCTGGAATTTTATTGTATAACATAAAAATTCTTCAAAGATATAAAGCAAGAACAATTTCCATTTTATCTTGATAAGTAATTGCCCATACAGGAGCAGCATAAAGTAGTACAGATGAAATCATTGAGTGAGATAATTTTATATAAATATGAGCAGAATTAATTTTTGCGTTTGAAAGAATAGGCCACACAGAAGCCAGTGTCATTTTAGCCTTATGAATACAATAATTTTTAGCCTGTAAAAACTGTATAGAAAATGAAAATAGAACTCCCAGGTATAAGTAATTTTAAACAACTTATATAGGCTGATTATTAAAATACCATCTCTCTTTGGGTGATAGTCTACAACCCTTCTCGAACAACATCACTTTTGTTTTTGAAACATAGTTAATCCATAGTCATAACAGAATTCCTTTAGAATTGTGATTTTCTTTTGTAACATTTGTGGAGTATCAGCAAGGATTACAATGTTGTCAGATACATTAATACATGTAACTCAACTTGATCAGGAAGTGAAATCCCAGGTAGGTCAGATTTAGCAAGCTGCACTATCAAACCATTAACATATAAATTAAAAAGCAGCATGCTCAGAATCTCACCCTGCAAAACTCTAATGTCAATACCAAATAAATCAGTCACTTCAGCTAAAATCTTAGTCTTAGAGTGTATGTTAATTATAAAGCCAAGAAATTGTTCATTCATACCCATTCTTTCTAATAGAGACCATAAAATTTTAATGATTAATGGTCAAAAAAAGCAGATCTATAGTGCACAAAAACAGCATATAGTTTTTCTCTCTTTTTTTGCAATTTCAATTGCACCAATATACTTAATACAAAAATTTAATCCTGGCAAGATTGGCCAGGTTGAAAACCTTCTTACTCCTCACACAAAATATTGTATTTAACAATCCAATCATTAACTCTTTTATTTAATAAAGATTTAAATAGTTTACAAATTACAGGAACCAAAGATATAGGCAAATAATTTTTGGGGTCATACATACTGCCTTTTTTATATACAGTAATACCCCAAACTTATGCGATAGGTGGGACCGAACGATAACCGCGTAAGTCGGGTTATAATTTCGCAATTTGTGTAAACTCCAAGTTGGATGTATGTTCGCGTAAGTCAGGATAGCGTAAGTCGAGGTATTACTGTATTGGAATAATCAAAGATTCACATTTTTCCAGGAAAGTAGAATTTCTGTTAATAGAGTTAAAAACTTCCAATGTTGTAAGAAGAAAATTTTCTGTAAAACACTTTAAATATTCTGTACTAATAAAATCAATTCCAGGTGAAGTACCAGTTTTAAAATGGTTAATAATTTCTTTTAGCTCCTCCAGTATAAATTCTGTAAAACATTCCATTTCTATTGGAAACACTTTAGACACATCCATTGACAATAGTTCATCATTAATAAGTAAAGAATGTTCTTTAGATAATTTAGTAGCATAATAATTGAATCATCTTTTTAAAGAAATTCTTGAATTACCCAATGAACTTTTATGTTTAAAACTATTAATTATTTGCCAAAATATTTTAGTTATTGCATTTCACCAATCTGCTATTTAAGTTCCAAAAATAAGACTCTTTTTTTTTTTGACATAATAATTTATATTCTTTTAAATAATTTTTATATGAAACATAATATTCATCTGTATTTAGTTTTTTCACTTTCTTAAACAATTTCCATAGATTTTTTTCACAAAAATGAGAAGAGAAGTTTCCCTCTATTATTAACAATAGAATCATTCGAAACTCTAAAGGCAATATGTTGATTACTGGTAAAAAATGGCAAATAATCAGGATGTCCCATTCCAGCATTAAAATATGCACATAACATCAAGTTAGTTCCATGTAGCAAGTAGTTTTCTATAAGTAACAAAGCATTCTTGAAATTAATGTCATAGTTATTATTAGGCAGAATATATGACACTATTAACTGAATATTGGTTAACTTGTCAGTATCTATTTGTAAAATCAATACAAATCATGTCTGTAATATCAGTTGAACCTAATACTGTATTTAATCTAAGCCCAACAATTACACATCCACTAGATCTTTCAGGTCCCTCACAAATATGAGATATCTGATGATAAATTTTATAGTCATCAGAGAGTATTGATTCAACTACTGAAGATCTATGCCATGTTTCTACCAGATATATATCTAACTTTTATATCAGATTCCAGAAATTAGGGAAACAGTATTTATTATTTATGCTTCTAACACGATAAAGTGTTATAAATTAAGACACTTGGTGGGATCTTTATTTAGTTGATAAATCAACTAAATAAAGATGAGAAAACCCGCCAAGTGTCTTAATTTATAACACTTTATCGTGTTAGAAGCATAAACAAATTGTAAAGCACGGTTTCATATCATCAAAATAAGTATTTATTATGTAAACTTACAATATTGTAGAAGAGAAGTTTTCATATTATCATCTTTATCCAAATACAGATCATCATATTGGTCATTCTTGTCATTTATGTTATTATGCTGTTTATCACTATAAATTATAATCCTAAAAATGACTGTTATCGATCAGTCTGGAAAATTTCACCTTTGTAATTACAAGCAAATATCTTATTATCTATAATTAGTCTATTATATTGCAGTTTGACATTTTTAGCTCCTTTTAAATGCATTTCTTTTCCAGACAGTCTTAGTTTGTTTCTGACAGCTCTGGTACTTGTCGAATAGTCATCATTAATGAATATATTTAGGCCTTTTAAATTACTAACATTTCTATAAACTTTTAATTTATCTTCAAAATCAGACAGGTCACAAATAATAAATCTTTTTATATTAGGTTTAAATTTTCCAATTCTAAAAAGCATGCTTAATATTGACATCTGTAACCTTTAATTTATCATTGAAAAGTTTTTGAACCTTAACTGAACAATCGCCCGATTTATCGTTGTCCTCTATGCTTGAGATTACAATATTATTCCTTCTTTCTTTATCTTCTAATTTCATTAACTTTTCATGCAGATTATTACAAATTACATTAATTTCTGTGTTTAATTTGTTATCTTTAAAATAAACTTTTTCTCTATCAGTTTCAAGGACAGATAGCCTAGATTTACATCTACTAATGCAGTATCTATATTCTCATTCCATGCTTGCATTCTGTCTAAACAGTTCAAAAGTGTTTCTAATTTGCTATTTGAAGAGGCTTACAGTTTCAACAAAAGTCAAATTCCTTCTTGAATGTTAATCTCCTGTTTGGCATTTATATAAGATAAGATCAATTGTTATGTTGACTTACCTGAGAAATTTTCTTTGCTTCTGATTTGTTTTCTTACATTTCATGATGATCCATCTTGAGATAGTGTGAAAAAGTTTTCCTTTTCTGAGATGGAAATGCTGATGTTTTTCCAGAAGGAAGCAATAGTGAATCAAATTGAAGAGAGGAAAAAAATACACACCAACAGCCACAACAGTCAGACAATACCCCAATATTCAAATATGCACTAAAAAATCTGTTGCTATTAGATACCGAACACTTGTAACTAATATGGTAAATGTCATCAGCCTATTTGTGAAGGTGTTTATTTTTATTAATTTGTTCCACATTATTTTAAATTACTTTTTTTTCCTTTGTCTTAACATTGGTTATTTTTTATTAAATTTTTTACTAATATTTACAGTTATGTAATCAACATATATATAAATTTATTATATTTTATAAATAATTATAAAGAATTAATTGATGATTTAATGAATTAATGAATATTTGAATAATATTGCAAAGCAATGCACAACACTGTCAAAGATGGTTAGGGATAAAGTTCCTACTGTAATAATATATACTGTATTATATTACCTATTTAAATTAATAGTACATACACTTCCTTGAGGAGGATGAATTACAATTGTCCTGTTTTTCTCAAAGTTTTCAGTGTTAACACATTCATGAAAATTCAACTGATCCAAATAGATTCCAGTAGCATAAGCTAAAAATAGTTTAAATTATATCACTTTAGATACTTAATTAATCTAAAACAACTTAAATTGTAACAATTACCAAAAATTAAATTAATTTATTTAATTTTATAAAATCAACCGTAAGTAACCTTTTGAAAATGTCTATTACAATCGAACCTAATTCGGGATGTAAGAAGACGATTATACTTGTAGATTCGGGAAATATTTAATGGCAAAAGCTAGAAAAACATATATATATATTTCATTTTATTAACTGTATTCGAATTTATTTTAAGTAACTTTTAAAAATTATACCATTCATTTATAAAATATTTCTGAAATAATATTTCCGAAAATGGTTTATTATAATCGAATCTAATTAGTAATATAAAAATCTGTTTTCGGGCCTTATGAAATGTATTTTTGTAAAATGAATTTATAATTTGAAAAATAATAATATAAACTACGTCGAGAGTTCTGCGGGAAAAAAAGAATTAAAGTTAAAACAGATAAAAATCATTTTCCTTGTAAAAATTAAAAGAAGTTTAAAATTAATCTTTCGAGATTTTTATATTTTTTTAATATAATGGAATCCACTTATTGTAAAAAGATAGTAACCTACCGCTCTGGATGCTAGTGATCGAGTTCGGACGGTTCGAAAAATCCCAAAAATTATTCGAGGGAAAATCCGTCTGGTTATGTCGGGTCACTAAAAACACCCTGTAGTCATGGGCGTAGCGAGGGGGGAGCCTGGGTGGGTACGGCCCCTCCCAGGGAACCTGGTGCCCCCCAGGAAATCACAGCCGAAAAAGTGTTGAGTCGATTTGTAAACACCTAAAGCTAAAATAAAAGTTTTGAATACTAAAAAAAAGGTGAACGGCTTGCTTGGTGCCCAATAATGAACAATAATTTGAAATAATTCAATTTTGTGTCAGGTTGGCCTCCACTAGGCCCCCCATAACAAAACTCTGGCTACGCCCATG